TTGTGAAGCAGTTCATCAGCCTCAGCAATATGCAATGCAGAGTCCTCAGAGACAGAGGTAGCAGCCCCTGAGCTGGTAGTGGTGAAGGGGCATAGCAAAGGGGCCAGCAGTTGACAGAGGAAAGGAAGAAAAAGAGCAGAAAAGACAAGTCACCTGGTACAGCACCATGTTAGTATCAGAAAGACAAAAGGAGGGAATCAAACCACATGCATCTATACATAGAGAGGACATGCCACAGAGCAAGTACCAAGGCAGGAACACTGTGAACCATTCCTGAAAAATACTATAAAGGAGTGGTTCCAAATCTTAGCTTTTCAGATATTGTTTGACTCCTACTTGCATCAACCCAGACCAGGTTTTCTGGACATGTTCAAAGATGTAATCCAACAACATCTGAACTCTTGAGCTTGGAAACTCTGTAAAGGATGAGAGCCAAACTACCTTTTATATGTTATGTTTCTATATTTTCACTAACTTAAGTATACACATTCATATTTCTCACATTTAAAAGCCAATGAGAGGGGAAAAAAACAGTCCAACATTCATGGGACCCAATAACTTTTCAAGGCCAATATTCTGTAATTCTGAACTGACCTAATAAAGGTATTGCCTCAAACAGATTCCCATCTAGAAATCCTGATCATGCACACACAATCTGGATTTCCTGACTTCTTAAAATATCTAAATTTATTTTTAACCCTAAGAATTCCAAACAATTGAAAGGGGAGTCCTATATTTCAAGCCCGTACCCTGTCCTACTTTGCACTGAGGCAACCAATGGCTCTCTCATGTCCCTCAAAGAAGTATGACTTTCTAGTTTCCATTTCTGGATCCTGAAGTTCTTGATCATATGAAGCACAGGAGTTTGAGACAGTTAGGGATCAGGATTAGATCAACTGGTGGCCCTAGCTTGCAAACTTTACAGGCTACAGCATCTTTCTGTTAGGTAAGGATTGTTCTTAACAGTGGGGGTGGGTGGCAGGCAAGGACTTAATGGATGGGTAGGTGTCACATAAAATAGGCAAGCCTATGGTCTCCTTTTTGTTTTATAGTTTTGTTGGGAATTTGTGGTTGTTTCTTTGTTACTATAACTGTCAAGACTATTTTAGGACCATTATGTAAAATTATGTAAAATGTTCATTTTTCCCCACCTCAAATAAGGAGACACCTACTGATGATTTTTGGCAACTGTGGTTGACTTAGGTATTGCATATGGCCCTGGAATCCCACACTGTCTCCTCCTAATCTAGAAGCACACCAATAAATGCCTTTTCTAGCAAAGTCAGTTTCTCCTGAGCTACTCACCTCTTTTCTGCAGAAACCATTATTTTATAATTGTATAGCCCTTTCTTATGTCCAAATGGACAGATTCCTGTTCCTGCAGACTTAATATATAAATCTTATCTTGGAAATCATAAAGAGATGAGGAAACTGCAGCAGTGGCAAACAAATGCAAAATGCCAAAGTTATAAGTAGCACATGCTTACATTTAGCTATTTCCAGGTGAACATGGGGAATAGAGAGATGTCCCAAATGCTCCATAAAAATGGATTCTGATGCAGGATTTGGAAAAAAGCAAGCAAGGGAGCAGGTAGTCTGGGAGGCAGTTCTAAACATATGGGTGAGCGACACTGAAGGGAGCAGAAATGGGACAAAGTTACAGAGGGCACAATTACAGGTAGTCCTTGACTTATGACTACAATTGAGCCTAAAATTTCTGTTGCTAAGTGAGACATTTGTTAAGTCAGTTTTGCCCCATTTTATGACCTTTCTTGCCACAGTTGTTAAGTGAATCACTGCAGTTGTTAAGTTGGTAACGCAGTTGTTAAGTGAATCTGGCTTCCCCATTGATTTTGCTTGTCAGAAGCTTGCAAAAGGGGATCACGTGAACCTGGGACACTGCAACTGTCATAAATACATTCCAGTTGCCAAGCATCTGAATTTTGATCACATCACCATGGGGATGCTGCAACGGGAATAAATGTGAAAAAAGTCATGTCACTTTTTTCAGTGCCATTGTAACTTTGAACAGTCACTAAACGAACTGTTGTAAGTCGAAGACTACCTGTATAAGCTCTTTTATGGACTCTCTACACATTACACGTTACATTGCATTTTTGACGTTATTCTTCAGAACTCACAATGTTATCATATTAACATCTGTGATCCTCCTCTTAGCTAAATGCAACCAAATGCAAATGGTGGTTGGAAGGTTGAAATCAGCAAAGGGGGGGGGGGNAACCCTGACTGCTCTTTAGAAGGCCAGATCCTGAAGATGAGACTCACATACTTTGGCGGCCTAATGAGAAGGAAGGACTCACTGGAGAAGAGCCTAATGCTGGAAAAGATTGAGGGCAAAAGAAGAAGGGGATGACAAAGAATGAGGTGGATGGATGGAGTCACTGAAACAGTCAGCGTGAGCTTAAATGGACTCCGGGGGATGGTAGAGGACAGGAAGGCCTGGAGGAACATTGTCCATGGGGTCGCAACACGACTTCATGACTTAGAACAACAAACATTTTACCAAAACATCTCATTATTCTGATATTTTAACCATTATTAACTCTCCATAGACAATTAACCATTATTAAAGTTTATTACTTTGGTGCCATCAAAGATTGCTGGTTTTTGTTTCGAATGATAAACTGTAATTTACCAATGAAAAAGATTAGGTTAATTCAAGTAAATCACACAAACTATATTACAGTTTATGTAATTTGTGAATTCAGTCATATCTGGCTGGTGTTAACTGGAAACAATGCATCCTCCTCACAATCCATCCAAACTAGGGGTCTGCCACCTTCCACACCCCCTCTCTTTGTGCCATATATTGTCATTCCTATTTGTCAGTTCTTTCCCACACTTTCACTCTCTTGCCAAATATCCTTATATCCAAGATGCCCATATTAGATTCATATAATGTAACAATTCCAAAGTCAGCCATGAGCTTCATGGCTGAGTGGGGACTAGGAACTGGGTATCCCAAAACTAGTCAACCTCATACTGGCGCCTCACAGAAATGTTATGGTGAGACCAGTACATATAAACTTACAACTTCAATAACATCCACCACTACAACATGTCTTCCAATCTTCAACTCAATAAGACCCTTTCTTGTCACAATGTATTCAGTTCTTTTAAAAACAAAAACAGAGTTGTCCTCATGTAGGAAACACAGTGTGTGGCTGTTCAGAGTCTTGAACAAGCCGCAACTTGCCTGTTGTACTTAGCCTGCTAGAAATACTTACCTAAGTTTTGCTGGAATTCTGACTTCACCCCGATTTGCAGCAGCTGGTTCTCAAAGAGCACCCCATTATTCTTGCACACAAACCTGCAGTAGTTCATGGAGGTTTGATTAGAGGCAGGTAGTTACTACCCATTATTTGTAAACATGCATGTCATTTCAGCTGGGGATGCCAACCACTTTCCCCACATTTACTGATTTTGATACATAGCCATTCATCCCTTCCTCTGACTATCTAAGATATCAAAACCAACCTGTTAATTCCTCCAGCTCATACATTAAAAGTTACCTACTATGCAAGGATGGCCAATTTCTTCCCAACCATTCCATCTGGAGAGTACTTTCTGGAGGTGAAATTACACAACAGGGAATGATGTTGACTGAAGTTTCTAGGATCAGTATTTCAGGCCAGAGGAAGCCATCCCACGCAAATGTCAAAGGGGAGTGGTATTTAGTCCAGTCCCCTGCCCCAAATCCCAGCATTCAGGAGACACAGTCCT